TAAGTTTAAAGTTCAGCCAACTCAGCAAAGCAATCTGGAAAAGAGGTGTTTTATGTGTCAGAGGACTGGACATTTCATAAGTAATTGTCCCTTACGGAAATCCAATGATAAGGATTTAAGAACTGGAAAACATTGGCCAGAGAAGCCAAAGACAGTGCAACCTACTGAAGGTAAGAGTAAAGTAGGGTTAATTCACTCGCCAACGAGGAAGGGTTGTGATTTAGAGATACCCGTAGTGGTTGAATCCAGGTCGATGAGTTATGGAGACAAGTGTAGTGGGCTGAAAATTGAAACCGGAAGGGTAAACGGTAAGAAAGCCTCTGTGTTAAGGGACACAGGATGCACTTCAATCCTAGTGGCAGAGAAGTTGATTAGGAGAGATGATTTAACAGGGGGCGAGAGGGAGGTTACTCTTGCAAATGGATATTTAGAGAAATGTCCGGAAGTGTGGGTTGAAGTAGAGACGCCTTATGTAACAGGTAAGGTGGTGGCTTTGGTGATGAATACGCCTTTTGCAGATCTTATTGTAGGAAACTTTACTCGGGTGGATATCCCTGTTGACAAGGAGACAGCTTCGGTAGATCCAGGTAAGGAAAAATGTGATGCAGTTGTAACTAGGGCGGCATCCAAGAAAAGATGTGAAGAACCGGAAGTATTGGACACTAGGCATTACTTTGATCAAGATTTTTCAAAGGAAGATTGGATTCAGGAGCAGCAGAAGGATCCTACTTTAGATTCCTACAGGAAGAAGGTGGTAGATAAGATTCCCGAGGGAGAGGAAAGTTTCCTTACATTGGATAAAGGTATGCTTTATAGGAACTTTAGATCACCTACTGAGGAGATGGTGAAGCAGTTAGTGGTGCCGACGGAATTCCGCAGACAGATCCTATCTCTTGGACATGATATTCCAATGGCAGGTCACCTTGGTATGAAGAAAACAAGGGATAGAATACTGAGGCATTTCTTCTGGCCGGGAATCTTTGACGAGGTCAAGAGATACTGTCGGTCGTGTCCTAAGTGTCAAAAAGGGACATCAAAAAGCAAGGTAAGCAAAGTTCCGCTAGTACAGATTCCCAGGATGGATGAACCATTTGAAAGGGTAGCTTTGGATATGGTTGGGCCGTTACCAAAGACCAAGAGAGGTAATCAGTATGTGCTGGTAATCTGCGACTATGCTACAAGATACCCTGAAGCAATACCTCTACGGAGTCAGGATGCAGAAGTGGTGGCAGAAGCGATGGTAGAGGTGTTCTCACGTGTGGGAGTGCCAAAAGAGATCCTGTCCGATCAAGGTACTAACTTCATGTCGTCACTTATGACGGAGTTATGTAGACTACTGAGCATACGTAAGATGAAGACAACTCCCTATCATCCTCAGGCTAATGGCCTAGTTGAGAGGTTTAATGGGACATTGAAACGAATGTTACAGATCTATGCTCAGGAAGAGTCAGGTAAGTGGGATAAGTTATTACCATACCTCCTATTTGCCTACAGAGAGGTTCCACAGGAATCAACAGGATTTTCACCTTTTGAGATGTTGTATGGGAGACATGTGAGAGGTCCATTGGCAATCCTGAGAGACAGCATCGATGGGGAAGATGAAAGTCAAGAGTTACAACCGTCTGTGATCAGCTACATCATTGAGACAAGGGAGAAGTTGGCCAAGATGGCAGACCTTGTGTCAGAAAAAGAGGAAGCTAGCAAAACAGACCAGAAAAGGTATTACGACCGTAATGCTAGAAACAGATCATTTGAGGTCGGCGATAAAGTCTTAGTTTTATTACCAACCAGTACAAAGAAGCTTTTAGCTCAGTGGAAGGGACCTGTTCAGGTAATAGAGAAAGTAAGTCCTGTAGATTACAAAGTGAAGTATGACAACGGAGTTACTAAGGTATATCATGTAAATATGCTTAAACGTTGGTTTGACAGAGAGGAAGAGATGAAACCTCAGGTTATGGCCGGGGTATGTATTGCAGAGAATGTTGAGGAAGATAATGACTGGATTGGAAATCTACTTATGGATCCTCGAGACACATTTCGAGATGTAAAGATGGCAGAGTCGTTGTCTATGCAACAGAAAACCGAACTGAGAGAGTGCTTACAAGAATATAGTGATGTGCTAACAAATGTTCCAGGGAGAACTACAGTGTTGAAACACCGTGTGGTGACTACAAGTGATATCCCTGTACGACAGAAAGCCTACCAGATTCCACTTTCGCTGAGGGACGAAGTGCGAAAAGAGTTGTCGTCGATGTTAGAGGCAGGCATTGTGGAAACTTCGGTAAGTCCTTATGCATCACCAGTAGTTATTATTCTTAAGAAGGACAAATCCATTAGATTATGCGTAGATTACCGTAAACTTAATCAGGTAACACAATTTGACCCTGAACCTAACGCGCAGATAGAGGATATAATTGACAGGCTGGGGAAGGCAAAATACTTAAGTAAGTTAGACCTTACCAAAGGGTATTGGCAGATCAGTCTCGATGATGATGGTAAGGAGAAAAGTGCGTTTGTGACTCCATTTGGTCATTACCAATTTACGGTAATGCCATTTGGAATGATGAACTCAGTGGCAACATTTAATAGGTTGGTAAGAACTGTTTTAGGTGACCATCATAAATTTGCAGACTCTTTTATTGATGACATCATCATTTTTAGTGAAAGTTGGGAGAGTCATTTAGAACACATAAAGGCAGTCATGGGTTCATTACAGAAGGCGGGTTTAACAGCCAATCCAAGAAAATGTGAGTTTGGTTCTCAACAGATGGAGTTTTTGGGTCATACGGTAGGGAATAGTCAAGTTCAACCAACAGCAGAGAAAATTCAAGCAATCTTGAATATACCAGTCCCAAAGGTAAAGAAGGAGGTAAGATCATTTCTAGGTTCCATAAACTTTTACAGAAAGTTTATACCAAATTTCTCCACCAAATCAGCCATCTTATCAGATTTGACGAGGAAGAAACAACCAAATAAGGTAACTTGGACTGAAGAACATGACAAAGCATTCAGTCAACTCAAACAGGACTTGGTAAGTTCGCCCGTACTGTGGAACCCAGATTTCAGTGCAGAGTTTGTCTTGCAAACAGATGCGAGCGAGAGGGGAATAGGAGCTGTGTTATTACAAATTAAAGATTCAGAGTGTCATCCCATTGTCTATCTTAGCAAAAAGCTACATATGTATTACCCAGGGAACAGAACTTTGCAACGGTAGAAAAAGAATGTTACGCCATAGTGTGGGCTATCAACCGTCTTCGTAAGTATTTATACGGAAGAGAATTTTTGATTGAGTCTGATCATCGAGCTCTACAGTGGTTGAAAACGATGAAGTCGGAAAATCCTAGACTGTTGAGATGGAGTTTGGTGCTTCAAGAGTACAAGTACTCAGTACGCTACATTCCAGGAAGAGATAACAAAATGGCGGATTTCTTGTCCAGACCCACCTAAGTTTGTTTCAACTTCATTTCTGATTTATTTTAAAATGGTGTTCATTTTGTAAATAAATGGGGGCGTGTGTGATGAAGTTGACTTTTGTTCAGTTAATATTATGTTTAATTTTGTGTTTTCCTTGTGAGTTTTTGCGGTTATGTGTTACTGTACTTTTGAGGGTGTGTATATAAGCTAAATTTAGAAAACTGGTTGGTCAGAAGGAAACGACACGTGGCAGTGAATGAGGCGCTTTGTGCCACACCACGTCTACAGTTTTGGTCACCATGGTCGTTCTTATAATTGGTGAATTCTAGAAATAAGTCTGGAACCGGTAGCCAGGGAACGGTGAATTACTGTGTGTGGTCATTTCTGTTTTCTCCAGCCGGTAAGCTTGTTTTGGTTACTATTTATAGGAGTTTGTTACTTTTTGTCTGTATCTTGTTTTGTGTTATGTAGGTGTTTATATTTTGTTATTTGATAGTATTCTAGAAAAGTCGTTTAATGTATTTTAGTGCATAGGGCATAGAGTATACTAGGGGCTCAGGACGGCAGATGTGAGTGGTCGAGTGGTCAGTTTGTGTCTAGGACCGGAGCATACGGAGGGGCGGCGGCGGTACAGGATATACGTGTACTACGTCCTCACAGACTTGTGAGAACAACAGAGCGCCCGTCTAACGGAGGGCTAGATGTAGGTAGAGACGTTTTAAGAAGAAGACCTGTGAGTCCGGCGGTCTAGATGGTCAGTGAACATGGTGTCGACCCAGCGGTGTATGGAGGCCCAGTGGTGCCGATAGTGTTGAAATAGGAACAGTTGTCAGACAAACTCCCAATTTGGTTAATTCAGAAAAAATTTCTAAAGTTACATTAAAGTGAAGAGTATTTGAAAATATAAATTCTATTTTGAACTTTTTGAAGCTACTTGAAGTTAATAATTTTTTTAAAAACAAATTTACTGTTTTCATTAAACAAGTTTTGTTTGGTATTTATTTCTGGCACGCAATTTTAAGTTCATTGTTTGTTGGCGTGTCAGTTTATTCTTTGTAAAGTTATATTTTTTTTCTTTCTTTGTGTGAGTGTTTGCGAGTGTGGTGTATGTAAGGTTTTTGTGTTTTTGTTTGTTTATTCATTTCTTTGATCTGTTAAATAAATTTATTTTTGTTTAATTGATTCTACAGTGTTTCGTTTTCTTCCGGACTCACACAAAATCCAAAAGAACTCATTACAAAAACCTTCTCTGTATAAACCATGTTTTACTCTATGACAACAATTATCAGAACACTAAATGTCTCATTTCAACAGTTTTTAAATAAATGCAAAATATGGACAGTAGCAAACCTGACTGCTGTGACTAATATTGTTATTACTTAAAACTAATTTATCTACAATATTTTCAGTTTTTGGAAATATTTTAATCAGTATTAAAACAAATTTATTTTCAGATGCTTTTGTATACATCCCTACAGTATGACATATTTGAAATCTTAGTCAGATTGTTACAACGATTTGAACTCGATTATTATAATGGCTGGACTCCTTCAATGAAAACAGAGGACCAACTGCTCATTGTACTAATGAAGTTAAAACTCAATCTACGGGACACTGACTTGGCTCATAGATTCTGTGTCAGTCGACCAACAATTTCGAACATCTCTCATACCCTTGTTCATGCACTACACAAGATGCTGTCTGATGCCGTAGTCAATGAATGTTTTCCAAGTCAGCTTAAATGCAAAGGTTTGTTTTAAAATTTATCATAATGACTTGCAAAAATTTAATGCAGTTAAATTTATTGTATTCTTGAAAGTTTGACTGTAACACAATTTTTTTTTACACAATTACAAATAATCAAATTAATTTTTTTCCAACTTTTTTTCAGGGTCTCAGTGCCAAAATATTTTTGAGGATTTTTCCTCTGCTAGAGCATCCATGGATGCAATTGAAACAACCCAGGACATCCCAACACATATGGACAATCAGGCCATGGCCTACAGTATGTACAAAAGTCGCCATACTGTTAAAGCAGTAACTTGCGTGGCTCCAAACGGTGCACTTGCATTTTGCTCCATGCTGTACCCAGGTTCTACTTCTGATGTAGCTATTGTACGTCACAGCCAAGTTTTACGAAAGTTCAAAGCTGGAGACCTTATTTTGGCGGACAAAGGTTTCACCATTCATGACCAGTTGCCCCAAGGTGTCTGCTTAAATATACCAGCTTTTTTATCGACATGAGGCCAGTTTACCAAACAAGAAGCAGCACTGTGTTACAAGATTGCTAAAGCACGTATTCATGTGGAAAGAGCCAACGAGAGGATAAAGAATTACGAGATTCTCCGTCACATCCCATCTACTTACAGACCAATCTCAACAAAAATATTTCAACTCTGTTCTTGTCTTGTAAACTTGCAAGCTCCACTTTTGAAAGAAATTACTTAAAGATACATGTACTTATTATAAATTTGCATTGGTGTGTGACAGTATGTTACACTAAACAGTAAAGATATTCATACCAAATTGCAAGGGATAAGCAAATTTTGATTTGTTATCAATGTCAATGGTTATATTTGTTAACTTTGTAGTATGTTGTAATACATGTACTTCAGAAAATGAAAATCCCTTTTGTTAGCATGGATTTATTACAAGAATGTTTGGCAATTCCATTCTTCATTTGACAATATAATTTGGAAGAGGGTTTACTTATAATTTTAAATCTCTAGTTTCAAGTATATTTACCTTTAAAGCACAACTCAAAAATTCATGTTTTCAACAATTTATCTATTAACAAAGACAAAAATGTTACATTTTCACTTTGAGAATAACATCTTCAATTCATTAATAAAATGATTCTAAATTTTGATATTCTTTTTTATGTAGTACATAGATTTTATTAATCATCATTGCTATTTAAAATAGTCTTATAAGCCAGAAGTTTTATGATGGATTGTGACATATCATATCATACATTTATAAGACTTAGGAACATTCAACACATTTAACATGATTACCCATTTTCCATTGTTAGAAAATTCTAGAGGTACAAAACCAAGTGTCTAGAAGTTCAACCCAGAACTCAGTTTTCCATCAGTGCTGGAATGAAAATGTTAAAGTAGAAATCTATCAGCTTTGAAACATTTGCTGTCCATTCATGTCTTTTACTATTCTAATCACAATGCAGTCTACTCTTGTCCACACAATTAAGTCGCAGCATGTTTTTTTTACATATGTGTAGCTGGCCTTGAATTTGATGATAGTATGGGTGACTGGTTTTCAGGCACAGGGTATCTTGTTTAAGATCTAAAAAAAATCAAAAAACACTTAAGTTGTGTTATACCAATTCATATCCCCTCCTTTTTCAATATCTTCATACCATATTGAACAGTTGCACTTGTAAATTAATACATGTATTGAAATCATTTACTCACCAAGATTTTTAATTTCAAAGTACTGGACAATACAGATTTTTAATGTTATTTGCCTATGAAAAATCCTTCAAATTTTGTGCCCCATCTGCTAGTATTGAAGACGATGCTGTATATGGACACTTCACCTCTACAATATCAGGAATGGCGTCTTTGGCTTCTGGAGTTTGATAAAATACACTGCATGTTGGTGGTCGAACAACTAAGCCATCAGGTGAAGCTCCCAACACTTCAGATTCATGCAACCATATCCCTTTCAGAAAAAATTATAATACTACTGAATGCAAACAAACCATAATACAATTGATTTTGTAATGCAAACAAAGTCTAAGCAGAGCTTTTATAATCCTTCCACTTCAAATAGATTTCCAGCAAATTTTCTGGAATATGTTGGTAATTGAATATTTTTTTTTACAATTAGACTTCAGTAATTGATTTCTGTTTGTCACCAGGATAAGTCCTGTTATTTTTGACACAATGAATGTTAACATGTCAGAGGTTGAAGGAATATTATTTTGTGTTGTATACCTGACTGCTCTACAGCTGCGTCAAAGTCCTTTTCATACTTTCTCAAAGCATCATCTTCATGAGTGATACCCCATGCAACAGCCTTGATGGACTCCAGATTGTAAGCCGACATCAGTCGTTTCTTCAGTGACAATGTCAATCTGGAGAAGAAAATATGATTTTTGGTTATTAATCTTATATTTCCTGCATCTATTTGTACAAATATCTAGTCATTACAGTCAAACCTCATTATCTCAAACTCAATGAGACCAAGAAAAATGTTGGAAATATCCGTGGATTCAAGAATAATACATAGAGAGTTATCGAGAATAAAATGTCCCAGTCTTTTATAAATGGTTTGGACTTCAAAATTACTTCGACATATCCGTGGAATTTGAGATAATGGGTTTGAGATAACAAAGTTTGACTGTAATTTAAAAAGTCTATTTCGCAAAAATTTAATCACACGTCTTACTGCCTTTGCTTAGAACTGAGAACTACACCAAAGTTGGAAGCTGTTATTCTGTATTTCCTTACAATCGACCACATTGGGTTGTTTTGTTGCCCAATTGTTGCCAATGCAGCTCTTTTAATGGCTTCATCTGACAGGGATAATGCATGTCGTAACCATACCATAGGGGTACATGTATATCAGAATGAACATACTCTGGTGATGTTAACAGGTCTTCAATGAGAGGTACAGGTGGACCAGGTTCACATGGCTCTGGTTCAAGAATCCAATTCAATGCTGAAAAATTTCATTACTTGTGTCATTCTCAAAAAATACATCCATAATATCCATATCACATATACCAAGTAATTAATATAAGAGCTAGTCCATACATTTCATTTTAGTGAACACTGTAATGGGTTTTTGTAATGTATGCATTACATATCAAATTTACAACTCTCTTGCATATATTTGTTCAGAATTGTTCCTGTATATAATTTTGTACGTGGCATTCTTAGTGTGAAAGTGCCATGGAAAAATTGGTGCAAATGTACAATTAATATTTACTAAATTATTAACAAGGTTTCATAATGACAGAGTATTTAAATAATAGAAGAATGATCTGATAATTCACAAGAATATGAAACAAAATATTTTTTTAAATGCAATTGAATGATTTTTTTTTCCTTTCAAAAATGTATGCTCATGTACAAATATTGTCTTTCCAATTATTCAAAGGTTGTTATTAATATTTATTACATAGTATGTTCAAAAATTGGGCAATATACATAGCCAACTAAGGCAACTATATTAATGCTCCTCATCTTTGTACATTTGTTCACAATGAAAATTAACCATCGGTCAGTAACAAAATAACAGTTTCATAATACTCTTAATATAAAAATCAAATCAAACTTAAATAACAACAATAGTAACACCAAAATCATAACTTCCTTCTTATATTTTACCAATAAACCTTCCAAGCTTTGCTAACTCTTGGTGCAAAAAACACCGGTCACTTTCATCAAAGGGTCAGTTTAAAGCACTTCAAATATGAAGCAAATTTTTTTTTACGAGTGATTTATAGAATAGAATAGAATAGAATAGAATTAGAATAGATTTTATTTCCAATCATGGTCCCACTGGGGGCATAACACAGATACAAGTATATCATTACATAAAATAGACAATGTACATAATGAAACATTAAACCAATTTACCCATGGTGGTATGCAAATATTGTAAATGCAATATAGTAATATTCAAAAATCATATACAATATTTTGATATGAATTGATTTTATAATCTTAAGATTTACTCATTTTCATTTGTAAAAAGCCATGTTAACTTTCATTATTGAACATAATAAAAAGATTAAACCAGTATTAACATGATGGTGTGCAAATATTGTAAATGTATTAAAAGATAAAGGTCTATTAATGGTTTACAAAAGACATCAAGGGACGGTGCTTCAGGAATGCACAATTTCTAGTCTAAAATTAATGAAAGGTTGCATTCCTCCTCATGTCTAATGTAGATAGGCAAAAATAGCTCAATTATAATTTATAAGAAGTAACAATGTAGTAATGTTCAAACATCATATACAATATTTTGATATGAAATGACTGATTCATTTTCACTTGTAAAAATTAAGCCATATTAGCTTCTCATTAATGAGTATAATAAAAAAATGAAACCAATTTCACCATGGTGGTGTGCAAATATTGTAAAAATATTATAAGATGAAGGTCTAGCTCGATCTATTAATGGTTGCCAGTCTACAAAAGACACCAAGGGACGGTGCTTCAGGAAATGCATGAATTCTAGTAAAATATCTAAAATGAATAAAAGGTTGCATTCCTCCTCATGTCCTATGTAGATAGGCAAAAAGAGCACAATTATAATTTACAAAAATTAACAATGTAGTAATGTTCAAACATCATATACAATATTTTGATATGAATTGACTTAGTAATCTTAAGATTGTCTCATTTTCATTTGTAAAAAGCCATATTAGCTTCTTATTAAAATCAAGATTAGGGAAATTGGTACATATGTCTGAGATAGATTTTAAGAAAGTTTCTCGTTCATCTTTGAATTTAGCGCATTTAAAGAGAAAATGTATTTCATCCTCAACCTCATTTAAATCACATTTTGTACATAATCGCATGTGTGCTGGGATACCCTGAAACCTTCCAACTTCAATCTGTAAATGGTGTGAAGATATTCTAAATCTACTCAGGCATCTCCTCAACTCAAAATTTTTGATGATATCTAGATAATTTTCGAAACCAAATTGATCTTTAATTTTAACATAAGTACGTAGTTTACCATCCCTATAGCTACCCAAATTGTCATGCCATAAATTTATATAAGTTTTCTTTAGGATTGTATGTATTGTACAATGTTGTATATTTACAAACTTTTTTCAAGCTATTTAAACATCCCTTAAGATCTGGTATATTTTCTAGGATGAAGTGTAGTGATCTGTACCAAGAGGATCTATTATCAGCATGTAATTTCTTAGAATGTATATATGCATTTCTGAGTAAAGGAAATTCTCCATTATTTTCTTCCAATCTTTCAAGTCTTTGCCAATACCTAATCATGCTTTTTACTATGTCAAAATGTAATGGGAATCTACCTAGCTCTGATAAAACAGCAAAATTTGTAGATTTTTTATGTACACCAAGAAGAAATTTACAAAGCTTTACGTGAAGTTTTTCACATATGGTACTAGAATATATCTGATCCAAGGAGACTTTATCCCCCCCTTCTAAATTTACTAGATTTGCAATTGAATGATCCCCAAATCTCGCACCCATACAGAAGAATTGGTTTGATTGTGTGATCAAATACATGTAGGCATGTTTTAATTTTGGGATTCATTGAGAGAAAATTTTTCTGAAGTTTGAAATATGCTTTTAAAGCCTTTTTATATAAATCATTTTGAGCAAAAGAAAAGATGCCTGATGCACTGAAGTATATACCAAGATATCTACAATGTTGTACACATTCAAGAATATATTCTTGATATTTAAAAATATGTTTAATGGGCCACATCGCTCACCTGAGCACTGTGGCTAGGAAAAAATAAAAATTGTTTTTTTATTGAAAAGTTTAAATCCGAAAGTAGTCCCTTGACCAATCATGGCTTTGCTTTTCTTGAGAAGGTTATTTTTAAAGAATTTTCCTATATATTTCTATATAAAAATTTGATCATCCCTTGTGGCCCCATCCTACCCCCGGGGGACATGATTTGAACAAACTTGAATCTACACTACCTTAGGATGCTTTCATATAAATATGATCAATCAGGGTTTTGCTGTTCTTCAGAAGAAGATTTTTAAAGATTTTTCCTATATATTTCTATGTAAAACTTTGACCTTCCATTGTGGCCCCGTCCTACCCCAGGGGTCATGATTTGAACAAACTTGAATCTACACTACCTGAGGATGCTTCCATATAAATAGGATCAATTATGGCTTTGTCATTCTTGAGAAGAAGATTTTTAAAGAATTTTCCTATATATTTCTATGTTAAACTTGGGTTGGCCATTATGGCCCCGCCCTACCCCCGGGGGTCATGATTTGAACAAACTTGAATCTATACTACCTGAGGATGTTTCCCCATAAGTTTCATCTTTCCTGGCACAGTGGTTCTTGAGAACAAGATTTTTAAAACATACCATCAAATTTTCATTAATTCCCAATTATCTCCCCTTGAATGAGGGCGTGGCCCTTCATTTGAACAAACTTGAATCCAACTTCACCCAAGGATGCTTTGTGGCAAGTTTGGTTGAAACTGGTCCAGGGGTTCTTGAGAAGAAGTCGAAAATATGAAAAGTTTACAGACAGACAGATGGACAGACAGACGGACAGACATGCAGCTAGATAGAGGGACGCCGGACAAAATGTGATCAGAAAAGAGCTAAAAATGAAACATTCCTCACCACAAAAGCCAGAAGAATATAGGGACCACCACCAGTAACATGTTTCTGGGAAGAACCAAAGCCATAAGAGAATCCATGCAGAGATAAATATCAATAGTCCTGAAGCTTCGATGCAGGACCAAGTACGAGAATTGCTACAAACACTACTCCGGAGACTTACCTATTATCCTATGATGTAACGTGCTTTGTCCACTGCAGCTGGTTCCCTCATAAGCTGGTAGCGAGGACAGTTCAGGATGTCCTGTCAACTTTATTCCTCAACCTTCCTGTCTTAGACTGAAAAGCAATAAGTGGAAATCTTTAGTGTTGCCTAGTGACTTTGAATTAAAAAGAAAGTTGCAAGATAGTGAAGGGGGGGAATTCTAGTCAACTCGGTACCTGGTGTATTCGGCACCTGGTGAACTCGGCACCACTAAAAGTGAATTCGTCACCAGGTATATTCGGCACCTAGTAAACTCGGCACCTGGTATATTCGGCATCTAGTTAATTCGGAACCTATTTTATACGAGTTACTTTTCACCTATTGATATGTTTTTTATTGCCAATTTATTCAATTTTTCTAATGTAAGGGGTGAATTAATTGAGGATTTATTAAAGACTTGATTTTTTAATCTTTCTATAAATATTGTAAAAAGATTAAAATGTTACAGCAGCGAAACATTCTCAATAAAAGAAAACAAGTAACAAAATACCCGAAACGGATCTTTGAAAATATGATAATAAGGAAATATTCTTCATACCATCGATCTTCATAACTGTATTCTATAAAAATAATATTTGCGTTGTCAGTGAGTTTGTGTTTTAAACTATAATACAAGGCGTTTTTGAGCTAAAAAAATAATAATACGAAATTGAATATAGATATACATGAAACACTACGTGTGTAACATACGTTCAAATTAAAATTTTGAAAAACTGCTTATAGAGAGGATATACATAATAGTAATAACGCAAAGAGAAAACACCAGAAGGACAATTCAGAAGAACAGACTGTCTCAAATATTTTTGAAATAAATGTACAAAGTTTTCTTAAAGATTTATAATTAATATTTGAATTAGCCATGTGTTCATAAAACTTTACAACATTTGGTCTACTGCAATAACTACCGGTACATGTACTATGTAAAAAAAAATCCTTATCACAAAAGTGCCTGGTAAGGTACCTTAAATTTTTTTTTAACAAACAAAATCTTGGCAAATTATATACTGATATTGAGCACAAACAATGTATCGTCTATGCTTTCGCCCATATACATGTATTAGAATTATTTTCAAAGTTTTCCGGGCTTTGAAAAAAAAATTAAATTATAGACAGAACATCATGCTCCATATATTGATCAATAAATCAATATGAAAAGAAATTGACATCATGATTATAATTTCACGTCAATAAAAATTCTTCTCAAAGCAGCAGGCTTGGTAGGAATCTACATGAGGTCGTGTAATTTGGGTTGTAAACGCACGTGTTAAATAACCAGAGGTATTTTATTACCGAGTGTAGAACATTATTATTAGATGATGAATTATCTTACACTAATATGTTACAAATATAATGATAACCAAAAAAATGTATAATACATTTATAATACATTTAAAGTTTTTTTTTTTTTTTTTTTTTTTTTTTGTGGGGAGCGGTCGCTACGGAAGTAAATAAATGTTGAATAGGGGCTCGTTGAATAGCTTAACAAATTATAGTAAATTGGTGTTAAGACGCAGCTAGAAAAAAAAGATTTATTGTATAATTTACATGAAAGTACTGTTTTTCCAAAGTAACAAAACAAATAGAAAGATCTTTTTAATTTTGTTTAATTAAGTTTGTTATAGTCTGTACTTATCAAAACTACGCCATTATACGACTTTAACGTTAAATTCAATGATGTACGTTTCAGTTCGAATTAAAATTCAAAATTCTTCATTGAAAAAAAGGACTTTACACAAAACGTATTCATAAAGTTTTAAGGGCTGGAACTTCCACGTATGAAGGACCGTAATTTACATAGAAAAGTATTTATTAGAGGGCGAAACTCTCTCTCTCTCTCTATTTTTTTTCTCGTATATAGCGATATTAGACTGTTTAATTAGAAAATGCGTTAAGAGAACAAAATTATATATTTTTAATATTGTGAAATGTTTTCCAACATACCTTACATTGCTGGTTTTCTTTAGGTGGTACAGAACAAGTGACATAATGACGCCTGCATGGAATCTTTCACTATATACCCTCCTCATTTTCTGACATCTCACACTATACGCTTGTGATTTTTATCCAGTTTTATTTCATAACAATTTTATTTTAAACATCCCATTTTAAAAGCGCATCATCCCATTAAAAAGGACATTAATTCATTTTTTAAAAAAAATCAGTAAATGAAATGTCACCAAAAACGCATTAACAAAAATAATTTATCAATCAAAATATAAAAGAAATATTAGCATAATTCTTATAATTTCAAACAGGTTTCTGTAAATCACGGAGGTCAAATACATGTATTTCAGTTAAATAAATCTTTAAATCAACAAAGTAGTCACAAGAAAAATATTAAGACAAAAACTCAAGTAATAATACATATGTCGATTTATAAAAGAAGGGTGCCGAATTTACCAGAATCTGGTGCCGAATTAACCAGATTCTGGTGCCGAGTTCACTAGGTGCCGAGTTAACTAGATACCGAGTTCACTTTTTCTATGAGTGCCGAATTCACCAGGTGCCGAATTTACTTGTACCCAAGGGGGGGGGGTATTGATGCTGTGCATTTTAATTAAGGGGACGACCATTTGATCCTGAGGGGGGGCCTGGCAAATTTTTTTGAGACGGATTATTTATTTTCATGCCTGTCGAGGACAGATTATTTATTTTCAAGATTATCAAGGACAGATTATTTATTTTCTTCTATGTCTTACCGTACCTTTATCAATTGATTCTAAAAGACTAATCATTTATATACAGGATTTGGGGAGGGGACAGGTATAACTTTGTTTAGGCAAGAGGTCTGGGGCCGCTGTAAGGGCTCCAGTGGGTCCTGGGCGAAACCCTGGTGGAGGCCAAGGGAGTACACCCCACCCCCACCCTGCCCACCCCCGACGCTCTTGGGGTTTCATGTATTTTAAGAGTAAAACCACGCACTATTATAGTGGTATTGGTTATTATGAACCAAAGTATCACATGTATAATTAATACTGGTCATACCGTACTTTGAATGAAGTATTCAGTTCAGGAAGCAAAGCCACCTGAAGCTCTTGGGTTTTTCAATATGTATAAGAGTAAAACTTTTGTAGGAATTGGTTAGATGTGTACCAAAGTATGACATTATTAAGTCATATCATACTTTGAATGAAAAGGGCCCAGGGGGTGAAGCCCCCTGAAGCTCTTGGGGTTTTGTGTATTTTAAGAGTAAAACTAGGCACAAAAATATTGGTATTGTCCCAAAGTATGGCATTATTATTATTATTCGTATCATACTTTGAAATTTTAAGGGATGGCCTGGGGTCGTACACATGTACGTCCCCCATAAATCCGCCAGTGTATATTTTGTATTAATTTATCTGGAAAGTATAATTATTCGACAAGAAAATTTATCTTTAATGGTGTATAAGAATTGGTTTGTATTTAAAGTAACTGTTATTTATCACACCTACTAAGTGCACATTGTCATGTTGATAATCTGACTTAAGTATCCAGTCTGGTAATCTGATTTTAAATACTATATTTGGTTCTAAAATGGCGAGCGAAGCGAGCCAAAAAATTTTTTGAATTGAAGACTTTTGAGATTAAATTACACGTAAATAAAAAAGGTATTTTTACAATATTTAATTATCAGAAGTCAAGGTCAGATTATTTATTTTCTCTGTAGTGGAGGACAGATTATTTATTTTCAACATTTTCAGGGACAGATTATTTATTTCCAAAATCTGCCAGGCCCCCCCCCCTCAGAATCAAATGGTCGTCCCCTAAATGTACAAAATCTGTATTTCACAGTTTAATGCATTCATGTATTTTGTGAATTGTCTTACATGTAATAATTGTTGCTATGTATTATTAAGCACTAAATCTATTCAACTGCATGTGTAAATGGGGAAAATGTGGATATGTAAATGATGTATAATTGCAATGTGTAAAATGTGACATTTTCTTATATGAGGGAGTCTGTTCATGTAATTTTTTTTTTCATTAATTATTCTATTTATCTTGATAAAATTATTTCAGTTAACAATATTGTTTATCTTACCTGTCTGATGAACTCAACAAAGGTTACAGAGGTGAATGGTAGAAATATGGGTATTACGGGTGTCAAAACTCTCCGTTGATGACCAGACTGCATGCCGCACTGTAAAATCACCATTTTGGATCTTTAAAAGGGGAAGCTACTCCTGAAATAAAAGAAATTGTCATAAAAATGATTAACCTGATTTTTCTTTAGGTCTCACATAAGGAAATAATTTCACTATATGTTACTATATAGCTTTAATTAAATAAATTAATTAACTAGACTCTCAGCAGATAATTCATGAATGAGAAAAAAGATTAATGCTTAGACAAAAATTCGAGATCAGAAAAAATATACCCCTTATGCGGCTTTTAAGAAAGAAAATTGAGAGTAAACATACCTATACCCTGAAATACACATGGGCAAACAGCCAACACACCATCGAGGAAGTTACATCGATCATGCGTACCTAAAAAAAAAAAGAGTTCCCTTTGATTCAGTGGCACAATTCTGCTGATATGATATTCCTAGTGCATGAGTCCAAAATTAAAACTGTAGACCTACATAAAGTTGCTGAAAATGAAAAAAGAAAAGAAATATTATTGTCTCTATAGATATACATAGAAAAACATTAGACTGAGTTCATTTTGATTGGCTATCTCCTTGCATAAGACCTTTAAGGGGTAATTTTATGCTATTTACCATGTGCACTGATTGTCATAAAACATAAGAAAAAATACCAGCCTTACAATTCATTTGACCTTGACCTTTGACATACTTTACTAAGAATACCCTGGACAATTTGGTTTAACTTAAGACTTTTGAATTTTTAGTGGCAGGTTTTGATAAATTAACCATTTAATATACTTATTAGCTCATAAAACTGTTCTTTAAAACTGTATGATATAGAATGTAAAAACTTTGAAACATGTTTGGAAAGTATTTATCACACGTGATATGGGATATATCACCACAGAAAGATCAAAGAAAATCACCGCTGATATGCGACAATAATTTTTATCATTGTTTATTGCTTGTCAAGAATATGATATGTCATTACATATATTATGATTTTTTGAATTTATTATTTCAGGCTGTAAAAACAGCTTTAAAATATTGGGAAATTTTCAATACATTTACTATAAAAATAATTGGACAAATTTGTGAATGACAATAATCAATGATGCATAGCAATTAATCTTTTCCTGACAGCCACCTTCTCCTAAAATTTGTTGTGTTATTTATTTATTTATTTATTGCAAAGTCGTCACGTCCCTGGACTAGTGCTACGGTCAATGGGCCAATTTCGAACCCTGCGTGGTGAGAGTTTGTCCCGAGACACAGTTAGATTATTCTAACTAGCATCTATATAGAATAAATCATACCGATTAATCAACATCACTACAATATGAGGACGTAAAAATAGGATAAAACATTCTCCAGTCCAGCAATTAGCCATTAAATTGTTTTTGATGTCGTGAGAAAATGCCGCAGCAGCGGTATGGCACGCCGATTGGTTCAAAATTATTTTCTGCACGACCTTAAACAAAAATTACACGAGTAAGTAAAAACTTACACAAAGTGAGGAAAGTATACACAAAGTTATTGAAATTTACACAAACTACAGAAAAACTACACAATCAACAAAATATTTACACGATATAGTGAGAAAATTACACGAACGTAAAAACGAAAACTGCACGAGTGAGAATACAACATCGACATAATGTACGACGCATCCTCATTGCGCACATTTCATTAATATTCATTAGAGAACAGCTCAGGGTGGCTTGGATGCTTGAAACATATACCTATAAATTAGTAACGTGTTAGTAATATTTATTTAATCTTTTTAAAAAGGATTCAGTCTTTTGGAATTCCGCTAGACTCTTAAGAATATGTACAATGTGTTTTATACATGTATAAATTTACACATAATCTTAAGTATGGAATGTGAACACCCCCGATTAAAAACATTCTACACATGTATAAATAACGTAAAAGGGATGCATATTACCAGTTGTGTGTTTAATTGTTAGATTTTTTAATTGTGTCATTCCTCTATCATTGTCTATATAGCAATTTCTTTTGAAAGTGTAAAATATTGATGTAGTAAAGGTCTTCATAAAAATTAATAAAAACAGCATGTGATGTAATACAAGACAGTTAACAACAAATAAAACTCTTCTCCTCCACCACCCACTGTGTGTACGTCTGTAATAATTGAGGATGTGGATGCGTGACCTTTCCATTTAGAGAGAACCCTCCCTGCTGGTGAAGGAATGCAAGACACCTGTACGCTAATCGATTTATAGTTATTTGACACATCCATAATACCTTTTGATTAAGGATTACTAGCAATTCATACAGAGATTTTGAAGCATTGTTGCGATCATCTGGGTTGTGGAATTTGACAGAAAACTTTTTGGAAATAAACAGTAAAAAATAAAAATAAGGCAAATAATTGTGCAACTTTAAGTTTTATACTGAAACAATCGAATATAATTATTATTTTTTTTAATGTAATTATGTATGTGACAAAGTAGAACATATAGTCTTTAATTTTAAACAATGTGTAGTAATTTCATTAATATCCATGTAAATGTAGAAAATTGTATGTAAATTGTAGTCGTTTTAGTTATGTGAATTTAAGCTTAACATATTATGTTTTTTATCGAGTTTGCTTTGAATAGGTAAAATGCATATAAAGGAGTTAAAACAATTTAAAATTATAATATACAGACACATATAATATCAGTAAAGCATCGCTTTTGATAGTGGGGATCGAGGGGGTTAGAATTTTTTTTTGACAAATTACCTGAAAAGCCTAATTGCATGACAAGCGAAAAAAAGGCGGGGATGGGTGAGAAGTGTCCAAACTCGAAAATCCTATTTCGTTGAGGTAGTGAGGCACCTTCAATATTCCACCTTCTTTTCTAAACACATAAGCATATATTACTTAGACTTAAACTACCAAACAAA